GGAGAATCGCGCAGGTGCTGTATGTGCCATCCAGCTGCTTGCGGAGAATCGCGCAGGTGCTGTATGTGCCATCCAGCTGCTCGCGGAGAATCATGCAGGCGCTGTATGTGCCATGCGCCTGCATGGAAGCGCAGAAGCCTTCAAAGACCGGTAAGGAGCGCGGGCGGGCGGGTGGGCCCTTCGCCATTCCCGGAAGTTACTTACTTCCGGGTTCGCTGACCAACCAGTTCGCGGGGACCGCCGTGAACCGGTTGAAACCCACCCCTGGTATCAACTAACTAGGCAATACATTTCTTTTATATAGGAGAATATCTTTACAGTAACCCAAACAAGTCAAATAGTATAACTCTAGAGTCAGAAAGATTCCAACTAAATATGATTCGTCTTACTCACGGTTTATATTTCCTCTAATAGTCACTTTGAGACAAAGGAAACAATAAAATAAAAACTATTAAGAAACCAATTTCAATAAGTACAGGAAAGGTTCAGGGAGATTTTAAAAATGCCATATAAGAATGTTTCACAAAAGTGGAACAAAAATGAATCCATTATCAATTAAACTAACAGAAATCAAATTTGTATTATCTCCAACAAGATTCCAGTACTGTAATCAGTTATCCTATTCAGTCTCTTCTAGATTCTAAATAATGCAGGCAGGCACGTAAATTGCTTAATTTTTCTGTTAACTTTTTAAAAAAATTATTGGTGCATAATACACTTATCAGATCTAGCACAGGCAATTTTGGTAACTATCAAGCTGGTTGTTTTAACAACCAGCTGGTTGTTTTAAGTACAGTATCTGTTTTGATGCTTCCCTGTCAGAAATTATTCATGATTTCACAGTTGTCATTAATTTCTGGCCTAGTCACTTAAATAGAAGTGGACTGTCTCTTCTGCATTTTCCTATGTTATAGAACATTATTCTCTGTTCTTTTTTCAAGATGAGCAGGAAGAAGGCTATCTATAGGTGGGGAACATTATATTGAACCATGATTATAGGCAGATCCTCACTTGCTCAGATTTAGAGCCATTGTCACCTATCCAGGAAGTCAATATTCCTCCTGATAACCCTCTACCAAGACAAACAGCTGTTAGTTCCTTAGCAATCTAAAGACTTGAAAAGAGTAAGTTGATATTGACTATCCTATGATTAAACAAGGTGAGAGATCACATTCCATCTTATTCTAATGGGCTAGCAAAAGAGCATCTCAAACAATATAGTAAAATAATCTATTTCAAATACTGAATGGTCTATTATAAGATGAAACTCTAGGGCTAAGATTCTTATTGCAACCAATCTGTAAAGCTTAACAAATACAATTATCCTATATCAATATTAAGTTAGATGCTGCAGTTAGAGCACTACTAGTAGATAGTGGAGCTTTAGTCAGCTTAGTTGATCCAGGAGTTGGGATTTTGTCTATGGTGTGAAAGCACTCTGTTTAAGAACAGAAGTTTGTTGTTTGGCAAGAATTATACCAAAGACCATTAGATAGAATTTTGAAGAACAACTTTTTACATAGAACACCAGAATTCTAGAGTAACTTTCTCTCCGCCCTAAGAAGGAATTATAAACCACTTCTAAAAAAACCTTGCCAGCAAAACTGCAGGGACCATCAGCAGAACTGAATGGAAGGGGGAAAAAACCTGAAATCCGGTTAGTTGAGGTTGTTTATTTGATTTATATAATCACCCATCTCACAAACACGATTCTAGGCAGTATACAATGAAAAGTTAAAACATCTATGGAGAAACCAGTTAAAACAAATAAAAAAATTAAACAATATAAATAAGTTGAATGAACCAGCATCCCACACAGTGCTACAATTTTATGGGATCCCCATTTCATTGGGGGGGAGGGGCGCAATGATGTCCCAAAGAGCAGATTCTGTGAAAAGGCCCACCTCCCAGGCACCATTAGATGGAATTATTCAGCAGGTAGGAGCCATACACACACTCCTCCTTCTGGACCTGATGGATGAGTAGAAGTATCCAGGGAAAAGTAGTCCCTCAAATAACCTGATCCCATGCCATGTAGGGCTTTAGAGATCAAAACCAGCACCTTGAATTGAACCGTTGCAAGCCAGCAACTAAGGCCGCGCACACAGAATAGGTTGAATATGGGCCATTCTAGGAACATTCATAACTTCGCTTTTCCAGCAGTTGAAGCTTTTAGATGCTGTTCAAGAACAGCCTCATATACAGTACGTTACAATTGTCCATTTGGAAGGTGACCTGAGCATGAGTAACTGCAAGTAGAGACTCATGATCCAGGGCACAACTAGGACAAAGTCCCTCCTACTATGATTGGCACCTGCTTTATGAGTCATGAATTCAGTAGGACTCCCAAATTGCACACCAGATCTGATTGGGGCAGTGAAACTCCAGTATTAAATTCCCAGATCCAGAAGGCCCTACAACTCAAAGCCACTTAGCCTTAACAGGTTCAGTTGAAGCCTGCTGTTTCCCATCCAGACCCTATATTTATACCCATCATTTGTATGTAGTTATTTATTGTTAGCTGGGTATTATTTCTGGACCTTGTTTCCATGGCAATTAAAATAGTTCCTGACTATCGTCTCTATGGCACACTTTTAAGTACTTGAATCCCAAGATATCTTCTTTCAGTTTTTTCTCCAAACTGATCATCCCAAATTCTTTTAGCCTGTCCTCACAGGGCAGGTCATCTCTCTATATCAATTTTCTTGCCCTTCTCTGAACTTATTCTAACTTGTCAATCTTTCTGGAAATGCAATACCCAGAATCAATCAGTATGTTCCAGGTGTGATAGATTAGAGGGGAATAACAACTTCAAACATTTTTGATAAAATGCTTATTTTAATATAGCCCATTAGCCCTTCTAGCACTAGCTGATGCTTGCTAGCACTAGCTGATCTTGCTATTCATAAAGCACCTGGTAACTGATAAGTTACCATAATTGTAAAACGATAACATAAAAAAGTTTTTTATTCAATAACGATGCATTTTTACATCCTTCTAACAAAATAATTCTTAACAACTTCCTTGGAGGCTCAACACTACTTCTATTATATTCTAGATAATATTATATTGATGCATGTGTATATTTTTAGGTGGGAGTTTTGTTGGGTCTTCAGCATTTCAATAAACTATAAGAGCAAGCTTCATATATCAATTCTGCCTTTGTAACAATTACAATGCATATTCATTTTCATCTTTTTGTTTCCCCCCTATGTGAATGTTTTGTTCACATGTGGAAAAATGAGGGCAAAATTCAAACACAGCAGGAAAGAAGGATTGTCTTCACTGTTGCTTAATATTCATACTGCTGGGAACATCCATCCTGCTTTCAACATGTTTAATAAAAGAGAAGAAAAAGTAGGGAAACAGCAGGCAGTTGGCACACTTTTTGGGTCCATTAGCCAGCTGTCCAACAGCTGTTCAAATGGTTAGACCATTTCATTGCTGAAAGAAATTAAAAATGACCCAATGGAACCGCTGTGCTTGATAAATGTAAATTCACTCCAGCTCACTCCAGCAATCTTCATCATAAAACTGCAGGATGGAAAGCTGTATGTTGAAACAATATCTCTATTTCTCCAGAATATAATTTTATTTAATCAAAACCTAAGTAATTTGAAACTCAAATATTTATCTAAGCATCACCCAGATCCCTATTTGATGTTTATAATATTTATTTAATGCAACTAATTTGCTGATTCCGGGTGGATATATTAACTAACTCTTAGCACTTCAGCTACTTGATGTACCAATAGTGAAAAATATGTAGAATATATATAGATATGTCACTGCTTGTTATAAGTCTGATATCCTCACTAGTCTACAAGGAATTTTAAGATCCATTAGAATCTTGTAACCTTGACCTCTATATATTTTTATCAAATACATTTCACACTTCAAACAGACTGTTTAGTTATACTTAATAGGGTGTCTCAAGTTAATCTTCTATTTCACCCAACTGTACTTAAAATGAACTAATTAAATACCATCACTGAAAAGGTTTTACAATACAAAAATGATTTGCCATTCTGAATTTAGATAGAGGCTACTAAAAAACCATAAGCATTTACAAATTTAGGTACCCCATAATGTTTTGCAATGGTTCACATTTTAAGGGCTATATTGGTAATCCAAAATATATTAATACTGTAGCATTTGTGTATGTTTATGATTTTATACTATAGCAGAATAATTAATATTTTTAAAAAACTAAATTCTTATTCTTAGATGTCTTTATGTGATCATATAGTATAAATTCACATCATCTCTTAATTCAGTTTCCATGAAATATATTCTGTCAAGAAAAATTATGCATACAGGAAAATACATGAAAAGCTTATTCCTTTTGGCTAGTAAGCTTTTCCTTTAACTAAAGATTTGGGAGTTATTTTTCAAATGGATGGTTTCTTATAAATATTTACATCTTTGAAATCAGAGAACTACACAGTGATCATTTTTCAAAATAATATTTCTTTCTCCCTGGTCGTTCTGGAGCACATACTGTTCAAATTATGTGATTCCATATAGGCTATTTAGGGGAGATTTCAAATCTTTCTCTTCTCTTCAACAATCTTTTTTTCTTCATTAAAACAATCCAGACGGTTAACTTCAGTAAAATGTAAGGTTGGAAGTAAGGATGTAGTGCTATGTATCAACTTAGATATACGGAGACTTTAGTTCCTGGGGGGAAAAAACAGCAATAAATGTGTTATAAAAACAATCTAGAGTCATTTGCTCTCTTTCCTAGAGCCCATGGATTGATTGATTGAATTTCTATTTTGCATCATCAAACTTCAGAACCACTCACTTAAATATGGCTGGGAGAGATTTACATACATACATATGTACGTACGTAAATACGTACGTGCGTGTGTGTGTTTGTGTGTATACTATTTAGAAAACAACGCTATAGCAACAAACATAAAATACTCTTTAGCTGCTATTAGAATTTAGCCAAATGTTTCAAATACTAAACTCTATAATACAAGTCATAAAAAACTTGTGAAAGTTCTTGTACAAGCAGAATTCAAGTATTAGATTATTCAAATAGGCTCAGATTCAAATGGGTTATAAAATCTTTTAACTGTCTTGGTTAATTGTTGCACTGAATAAAACAGTTCATCTGCATACTCACATTTTTCATTATAAAACAGGCCCTCCAAACTGATCTTGCAGAAGCCTCTCCATGATTGAAATACTCTGTAAAAAACATCACAGACTAGATCACTTTGAAATCTAAATATTTTACAAATAACCCTATTCACTCCATGTCACCCCAAATCTCTTCCTAATACAATTAGTCACCCCTTGGAGTCCTACTGGACTAAACCTCTTACAAGTTTCACGGATAAACTGCTAACTTTCAGGATAAAATCACAAGAGTCCCGAGGGATATAGGCAAACAACAGGGCATTCTATAAACTCTATCTATACCATACGATTTTGGGAAAGCTGATCTCAAGTAAAAATCTACATAGAAAACTAGGCAATAAGACAAGTTGCAAGTTCCTAAAGAAGTTTCTCTTTTAGATTCTTAACATTTTGTCAATAAATTGCTTGACCTTTTGGCTAGTAATTTTGAATGTCTTTCTGGTCACAACCTGCAAATACTTCAGGAAGGGGGATGACAATATGTGTGTGGATATACATATACATAATTGGAACCTAGAGCTCTAGCTTGTTGCAATTTTGACCAATGTACCAATCAGAATTTGGTAGTTTGATTCTAGTATTTACTATATTCTGTTTGTTTTCAGATGTGGATGTCAGTGGCTGTAGTTCCAAGGCCCCACACTAATTGGGATCTTTTTGTTCTCTGGTAAAGGAGAAATATCTGTATACGTAACAAAGATCTGGCAGCTCAAACAGTGCAGTACACCATCAAATATTCTTTTCATAATAGAATTTGGAAATTATGTTTACCGTGCCAACTTTGGATCAGTTACAAACCAATAACCCAAATGATCCACATTTTAAAAATTCAGAATGGCTTGCAAAATGCTTCTTTATAAACTTTAAAATATTAGAACTTGCAGCTCCTTTTTCTGTTTTCATCATCTCCACAGGAAGTGAGAACTGACTAATACAGCTCATCCATCTAAATTAAGTTTGCCACCATTTACTAACTACAGCACGAACTGACAAATGTGAGAACTCTTGAGTTTTGCACTGGGAATCTTAACATGTTATTTATTGAATCAATTATGTTCACAGTGTGAAAGCTGCTTTTCCTTTCTTTCTCATAGTATTGATGCCTCTAACATAGGGGTTAGGAAAGAAGAGGGGGGGGGAGGAATATATAAAATGGCTAAAGATCAATTGTAAGTCATATATGACTGAAATAATGGTACTGCCCAATAAATATATTCCTTACAACTGAGGTTCTAATACTTGTCATTTTAATTTTATCAGCTAAGCTGATCTTTTTGTTATAACAAACCTTGTTTGTTATGTGCAAATGTAGACAATAGAACTTAACAGATCTCTATAGTGAAAGGATTTTTTTCTATAGGTAATCATGGGGTCCCTTCACCTTGCTAAATCTCACATAAAATGAATTAATATAAAATGAGAGAATGCTATATTTAATATTAGTTTCAATATGTTATAATATCTGCTACATAACATGACTTTGCTCTGACTCTTTTAAGATTATACCAGGTGCGCTCCAGTGCACTCATGTACTTCTGACTGTAAATACTTTTGACCTCTTATTTGTCTTGTTTTGCTTATGCCTATTTTATTATAGAAACAGATGAAAATGAGGAAAAAGGTGAACCATCTGCAAGTAAGATGAATGTCAAATAACCACTGAAATAAAGTTTCTGAGAATATTTGACAGCATCCCAGAATAAGCCTGACCAGATGAGTTAAAAAAAGTTATCAATAAAAATAAAAAGAAATATAAAAAGATCTCATGTAGTATCACTTCATCTCATTATGTTCTATCTACACAATCTTAATCTTTTTCCAGTTCTGACAATTATCCCAAGAACCCCAAAATGGGTCAGGATCAATTCTTCAAAAGTGCTAGGAGTTCTCAATTTTTCTTCTAATCAATTTTACAATGTATGCGATCACATATTTGCTTGACTAATGTGTCTGTTTGTGAATAAATATACATACTCAGTCTTATAAATTATATTCTGGGAAGATACCATGACAGAACCACCATCAGCATAGCACCCTATACCCACATTTGCTGTTAAATATCTCAGGGATAATTTATGATTAATTGGATTAATTGAAAAAGGGGCACTTATATGAATGAATCTGCTTCAAGTGCTAACCCAAATGCTGCCTGAATGAAAACTTCAAATAAATACAATGTAGGCATGTGGTGACCTATGACATTAGTCTAAACAAATACATATATGGGAATGTCTTCTGTACCAATACTTGTTTTGACACATTTTAATATAAAGGAACTAGAATATTGTACATATCAGAAAAAAAGCATATTAGATGTCAAGAACCTGGGAATTAAATTTAAAAAAATAAAGCACTTACCCTTTTGACTCCTTGATTTAAAAAGGATCGTGCAAAAATTTCCAGTAAGCAATTCAGCAATCCAGTCCCTTTTACTGTTATATTTCCTTTCTGAACAAATTCTGTCCTACAAAATAAAAATGTAACTGAATTGGACCATTGTCTGCAATGCCTAGAATGTCTGCAGTAAGGTCACCCAATTGCCTTCATGCATAAGGTAAGACTAGAAAAAATCTACTAATAAAGGATCCACTCACCAACACTTGCTAATGACAAAAAGAATGAGTCAAATATTCAAATAGAAAAATGCCTTAGGCTTCATATATTTTGGTTGTCATGGCTGTCATGGTCATTATGAATTCCAAAACAATGTGTTAAACTGTTCTTAAAGTAAAAACAAAAATAATAATAATGAGATCAAAGCTTAGAAAATATTCAAAATCATCTCTTCAAGGTCATATATCACATACTATAAAAGTGTGTGTTTTTTGGCTATGGTTTTATTTCTAGTTCATTAAAGTTTCACATCTTCCTTATGTCACCAAAATATGCCTGCATGATGCAAAGATAATATATAACATACAATATAAGTGCTATAGTGTTTTAGAATGAATGTAAACAACATATTCTACTTTAAACTTCATTAAAGTGATTATTAATTAAAATATTGAGATCATTTGCTCTAACTTAGTCCTACAAACAGGGGTGCATAGAATATGCAATGTTTCTACTGTAGTAATATGACAGCACTGTGTTTTCTAATGCCATTCAGTAATCTAATGCCAATTTTAGTAATTTAGTAATGTTTTGAATACATGTGTGAGGCAAAGAAACTGCAGACAGCCATTTCCCTCTTCCCCAACTCTCATCAGTAATTATCACTTTCAAAGCTGGAAGAACTAAAATACCCATATGAAAGAAAGAGAAGGAAGAAGGGGATGGAGAGGAGGAAGGAAGGAAGTAGAGAAGGGAGGGAGAAAAGAAAAGAAAGAGAAAACATTACTAAA